AGAGAGAGAGAGAGAGAGAGAGAGAGAGAGAGAGAGAGAGAGAGAAGTTCGTTCTGGACGCAGCTTAACGATACACGTCGGCTGACTGACGGCAACTTTTTTTATTTTTTTTATTTTTTTTTGTTTCTTTCGACTCGATCTGCCGCTGCCAATAATAAAGTTCAGGGTGGCTCGTTCATCATATTCCATCAAACAGGCGCGAACCACGCTCTCGACCATTCGGTTCACCCGTCTACCCCCTCGATCCTCATCCCTCATTTCTTGCCGCTTCTATAATCTTCCTTCGACTCCCCGGCAAACGCGTAGATTAAAGGATTTACGAAATTAGTTTTACTTCCTCGCGTCGTCTACGAGCGCGGCCGGATATTAAGTTCGAAGGCGAAATCCCAGATCGTCGAGAGTGGGCGATCGCAGCGCCGCGTGGCGGACTTGGAGTAAACAACGTTTTAAAAATACAGCGTTCCTTTTTATTATTATTATTTCCATTAATACTCGCGTTTTCTTTTTGACTCTTTTTGATTCTTGTATCATAATTAATATAAGGATAAATAAAGTACAGAGACGGGTTGTAAGATATGTATAAAAATTGGATTATCGCTTGAAGATTATTCATTAACGGAGAAATTCATAAGACGGATTTTGTATTTATTCACATCACGTATTTATATTTGCAAAGACTTTTTAAAGTCTTACGATTTCTCCACCGCGGATAATAGAGTGTATCGTCGCCTTTGTTTGCGATTCGTTTGTATATCAAGTATATCGATTACGCGACTCGTTTGTGGTAACATCGTATAAATATCAGGCTCCGCGCAACTGCATTATCATTGACTGCTTATTTGGATTACTACTTACGCAAATAATAGTTTAATATCACGCGTTCCGCTTTCACGGCCATTATTTGGCCTCGGATACGACCAGTTATCCCGATTAAATCTACAAATTCATATCCTACATATCCGCCATGGTATAATCTTTGCCCCTTCCTCTCCCTCATACAATATGAACGTGTCGTACAATTCTAACGTTTCGATAAATTTCCTATTCCGAAATTTTCATCACTATGCACGCTTAACATCACCATTTTTTTTTTTACAAACATTGCATAACATTATTCGCAAAATTATTTGAACCGTAGTATAATCTTTGCCCTTTCCTCTCTCTCATACAATATGAATGTGTCATACAATTCTAATGTTTCGATAAATTTCCTATTCTGAAATTTGTTTTATCACTATGCATACTTAAAATCACCATTTCTTTTTTACAAACATTATTCGCAAAATCATTTGAGCCATGGCATACTCTTTGCCCCTTCCTCTCTCTCATATAATACGAACGTGTCCAACAATTCTAACGTTTCGATAAATTTCGTATTCTGAAATTTGTTTTATCACTATGCATTCTTAAAATCACCATTTCTTTTTTACAAACATTATTCGCAAAATCATTTGAGCCATGGCATACTCTTTGCCCCTTCCTCTCTCTCATATAATACGAACGTGTCCAACAATTCTAACGTTTCGATAAATTTCGTATTCTGAAATTTGTTTTATCACTATGCATTCTTAAAATCACCATTTCTTTTTTACAATCATTATTCGCAAAATTATTTGAGCTATGGTATAATCTTTGCCCCTTCCTCTCTCTCATCTAATACGACCGTGTCGTACAATTCTAACGTTTCGCTAAATTTCCTATTCCGAAATTTTCATCACTATGCACGCTTAACATCACGATTTTTTTTTTTACAAACATTGCATAATTTAAACCGTACGAATTACTCAAATGATATTTGAATTTGACCGATCTTTCCTTCTTCCTCTTAATTCCTTCCAAACAAACTTATCTTACTTTTAAGCAACATAAAACGTCCGGAGAGCATCCGTCCGATCTTGGATCCGCTTCCCTCGCGCGATCCTCGACGCGACATCTCGTTTCGCCTATCTCCCTTTCCAGAAACGATTTCATCGATTCGTTCCGTCTTGAAGCCGGACAAAATAGTCGAGGAAGATGGAAGAGAGGGGAGGGGAGGAGAGGAACTCAATTAATACCGGTGCACTAGGTTTATACTATATTTCTTGGTTGCGGTATCAAGCGAGCCAGTAGCCCGCCTCATGTCTGTCTGCATTTGTTCCAATTCACTTGCCGCCGATTACCGTTCCCTCTCGGCCCCGATATATCGTTCCAGCCTCTACCCCTCGTCGATGTTCCCCCATTTTCATCCCTATTCTCCCATTTCCTCTCCTCGTCCTCCCTCCCCCTCGACTCGACTCGTCTCCTGCCTCGATTCGTCGCGGCACAGTGTCACGTGACTGCACTTGGAGCGTATCTAAAGAGAACGACCTCTGCCGGTCGCGAAGTATCTCGAACAGTTTGGCCTATGATATTTCTTTCCTCCCAAATGCCTCGCGCGTGTAATATTAGAAAATGATGGAAATTCGAGGTGGACAAGAGCGTCTATTTAATTCTACCTTTTTTTTCTTTTTCAAATTAATTCCCGTTAATATGAAAATATAGAAAACAGAACTAAGAACTTTCGAATAAACAAGACGAGAATTTATGTATCCATGAGAATTTGTCGATTAAAAATTTAGAGAAAATCGAGAATTCGTGACTCGTCTGGGGTATTGCTCAAAATTATCAATTTTCGTGCACGGTCTTCTCAATCCGACGATCGGCCGTGAAATTCGTAGATGCGTTTGTGGCCCTGGATCGATATGACGTGCGCGTTTCTCGATACAACGCGCATGAAACGCATTCGATGGTGAAGGTAGAAACGGCGGTTGTTGGGAGGCCACGCTTGATTGCCGCACTGCAGACGCCGCGCCGCCTTGGAATCACGCGGTTAATTAACCTCCCGACCGGCTGCGTCGGTCTCGAGTACCGGCAACGATAATTGATGAGCGCTATGGATCGCGGGAACGCGATCGATTTCGCGTCCGTGAAACATGGGACGGCGCACGGATCGTACGAAAATTCTCAACGAGGAAAAGTTTCGAGTATGACGCTCCTAAAGGATCGTGCATAATAAGTAAAATCTTAGACGTGAGAAGTGAGAGAGTAAGAAAAAAACCATCTTTATATTTATTGAGTTGTTAATGCGTTTTATAGACAAGTTTAATTAACAATATTTTTATAAGAATGTGATTTATTTATTATTTATCGTCGAGCAAAAGTTGAACAATGAAATCCAAATACTTATTATTAATATTAATAATAGTGGAATCTGACTGAATCAGATCTTAGAGTTTATTTCTTTTTTCTTTTTTTGTATTATTAAAATATAGAAAAGTAGAAATGTGTACAAATGAATCCTTTGGGATCTTTTCGAGCAACGTATCGTAATCGGATGTTTTATTTTTCGATATCGTCTTTCGAGTTTATGGGGGCGCTAGTGTGTAATGGCTGATCTCGATCCGCCACTTTTTCACCGCCTCTTCATACGTAGACAACGTCCGTGTCGGCGAAGTGGACGAAGGATTATATTGCA